CGCGTTTCAAAAAGGCGGGGCATAGAGGAGAAACAATAATGTACAGTATGTGGAAAATAATGTGTTTTTTTTACTTTAAACCACACAAACACATTTCATTACACCAAATACACAAAATAATGTTCTTTTTAGCAGCATCATATGACCCCTTTAAATATGCTCATTGCGAGAGAGAGTGAGCGAGTGAGTGAGAGAGAGAGAGTTGAAGTTGAAATTGGCATTCGTGACAGGCATGACAACTGAAGTGGATGTTTGAGTCTTTTGCAGACACCCATTTAACTCGTTAGCTTTTTGAGCGTTGAAATCCTATGTCATGTGCTCTTAACAACTGCTAATTTGTTTAAAAACGCCAAACCCCGGTTCAAATACAACATTTAAAGCTTCACAGAACCGCCAGCAACCTACTCTGAACAACAGCAAGCCCAACTTATTTTTACGCAGCGTTTGCAGTAGAAACTCAACTTGTTTCTGGAATCACACAATGCCATGTATTCACCGGCTATCATAGAAGGCACACACTCACCGATCACCTCCTGCAGCTCATAGTCATCCCTGTTGATGGACCAGGGTTGAGAGCTCAGGTCCTCCGACATGTCTCAGGATTGCGTACCTTTAGTTAGATCCTGCTGAATCCAAGCAGTGGAGATGGGTGCTTACAGAAAACAACGTGTAAATGTTACTGTAATCCGCAAAGCAGTAGCATTGCAGCTCAACAGCCTTTCTATCATTCCTAAACTTTGCCACTAGCGCCAAAAGCCCCGCCCACCACATTCCTACACACTGACGGACGCTATAGTCAGCCATCTTGAGTGTGTAATAATTACACACTTTTTAGCATTATTACCGTAGAAATATCATAGTAATTAGTTAATATTACTCCAATAAATTTGTGCTATTTAGTAATATGATTTTGCAATATTAACAATAAATGTATAACTATAATTTATTTAGTAGAAATGTTATATGACCCATATTTGAAAGGCTGAGGAAGAAACATAATCAAGCAGCGTTAATTGTATTTTATGAGTTTCGTTCTGCACACAAACTACACAAACTGGTATAGGGAAATAGCACACGTGCCAAGTGAAATCTACTGTAAGGAACATAACCTCCAACCTAATTCCTACATTCACTCAGGGCAAATTATTGCAATAATTGGTGACAAATCAGCCCTAGTTCCATTAAACTTTTTATTTTATATTGTAATAAAATGCATAGTGGCCACTGATCTTTTTTTTTATTTTTATTTTTTTTTTACGTTTATTATACTGCCATCTCATGGAATAAAACAGTACATGGGCCATTCTTCAAAAAGTATTCCTGTAAATGGTAAAGGACTTCTAGAAGTAAATCAAGCTTAAGACTTTAATCTTTCTTTTAATTACAACTTGATTATGGAAATACAGCGCTAAAGTTAGGTTAGTCATTTCTAATCGAAGATATACATTATTCTGTCATTTATTTATTTAAAACCACTTTGAGATTTTCATAATTTCTGTAAATTCATTATAGAATGTTGGACGGAATGTTAAATGAGACAAGCCAATAAAACCTCACAGAATTCATCAAAACTTATTCTAATACTTGTCACTTCCTGGAGGATGATGTCAATGGGCAACTCTTGTGTGAGTTAAAGGCAAGGGATAGGCCTATTACAAAAGATTAGAATGGAAAGTGAAATTGAAGAAATTGAAGAAAATCCAATTAAATGAGGATAATTACAACAATATTCTCAAGAATGCTTTAATAAATTCCATGTTAGAAATGCATTGCACCCGGAGACATGGCAAAAACTAATTCGAATTTTATGATATGATTATAAAATGTGAGACGAGACATTACTATAGCAATTTTTCATCCGCTGTGCTTCACTGTCGGTTCAGTGGTCAGTTTTTAAGTAGCAACTCGACAAGTACTCTATTAATAGCATCAACCCCACAGTCTGTACAAATAACCAAACATGATTTAAAAAAAAAAAAGAACCCATAAATGTATGTTGTGAATCTCGTAACCAGTGGTGTAATATAACGGAGTAATAATAATTCGTTACAGTACTTAAGTATTTTTGGAAGAATCTGTACTTTACCTGGTTTTTATATTTCTGTCAACTTTCACTTTTACTCCGCTATATTTCATGATTAAAATGTACACTTTCACTCTGATACATTTCCCCGAAGCATATTCGTTACTACAGAATAAAGTCGGAAGAACACAGACTGCACGAAAGCAGGTTTGACGAATCAGTGGTTTGGCGCTTGTAAGTTTAGACTCCTAAAAAACACATTTGCTCACGTGCAAACAAGTGCTCGCAGTCGCAAAAGCGCGGATGATTTCATTTTCCAATCAATTCGAGGTGTGCGACATACAGTATATCGTCTGCGATAATATGGTAAGTGTTGTTTTAACAATGTGCGATCTGACATGATCGAGTATATCACAAAAACACACAGAGAGTGCAGGCATACACTGTGTGATTTAGTCTATTAAAACGCTTTCAGAATGCCCATCAGATTCAAGATAAGAGGCAATGCCTCTGTAAGTCTTTTATATCAATTAATAAGGTTATTAATCTATATCACAGTGTGCCTTTTTTTCTCCAGATATCGGCATGATAACAAATGTAATATTGATTTTATACAAGTTTAATAAAGTTAGTATTAAGTTACTTACATTTTAGATGCCTGTTTTTGCTGTATTTCGCCAATAAAATAGTTCCAGCTGAGCGACACACAGGACGGTGTTTCCTTATTGAATTAATCAGTTTTTTGAACGAATGATTCAGTGACTCACTCATTAAAACAGTAAAATGTTTAATTCCTGAATGAATCGATTTAATCACAATGACTCGCTCTTTAACTGTGACTTGCCGCCACCTACTGGCGGCTTTAATTTCACATTTAAAGCGCCACCTGTGGCTTAATCTCTCAGAGATCCATGAGAAGGAGAAAGTTTTTCTCCTTGACGCCCCCATCTCTCAGTCTGGGCTATTTGGGGAGGCAGTCAACTCTGTGGTTGATAAATTTCGGGCAGCCAAATCCCAGTCAGCGACCCTAATCCCTCCTGGCCCAGAGAGCGCTCCTTGCCCAGGAAGGAGACCGCCAGTAGGAGCAGCGACCCGGGTCGTCCCCCACTGCCCACGGTCTGGGGAGCCCGAGGCCGCCCATTGCCCCACCGGCGACCTCGCAGGCGGCTTGAGCTGAAGCGGTTTGACAGACCCAAGTCGCTCCTGACTCTCGTGTCAGGAAGAGGGAGCTTCCCCCGCCTTACGAGGCTGGGCCAGACCGTGCAAACGTTTCTGTCCGCTTCTAAAATGCTCCCCTCATTCAGTTCTGTCACATCCGCCGCCCAGCACGTTTCGGTGTGCAGCAACCGTTCGACCTCTCTCTCTTTCAACATGGGGGATGGGAGACGCACCAGGCTTTCTCCCCCTACCATCTGTTCCTTCGTCACCTGCTGCTCACGTTATAGGAGACACGTGCGGTTCTCTCCCAGTGCCAGCAGACCCTGTACATGCATTGGTTCCTGTAGACTCCCTCTTCCCGCGTCAGGACGCCAAGGGCCCTCCTTCGCCGTTGACGATTTCACGAATAGAAGCATCTATCAGGGGCATCGCCCTGGGTTTTCCGCACAGTTCAGTTCGGTTACACACTTCAATTCGGTCGCAACCCCCCTCGCTTCGATGGGGTTCACCTGACTGTAGTGGGCAGCGCCTCAGAGGCTTCTGTGCTACAGCAGGAACTATCTTCCCTTGTCCTCAAGGGGGCGATAGAGGAGGTTCCTCCAGCGGAAGTGGAACGCGGCTTTTTCGGTCGCTATTTTCTCATCCCAAAGAAGGACGGCGTCCTACGTCCTATTCTAGACCTTCGCCCACTGAATTTCTCCCTTTACAAAGGGAAGTTCAAGATGCTTACGCTGAAGGCTATTATGTCTCAGATTCGAGTGGGAGACTGGTTTGTCACCGTCGACCTGAAGGATGCCTATTTCCATATTCAGGTCATTCAGCGACACAGGAAGTTCCTCAGGTTCACCTTTGGGGGAAAGGCTTACCAATACAAGGTTCTTCCCTTTGGCCTAGCCTTGGCACCAAGGACATTCACAAAGTGCATGGATGCTGCTCTGGCCCCATTGAGGCTCCAGGGCATCCGTATACTCTACCTGGACGATTGGCTCATTTTGGCCCACTCCAGGGAATTAGTGAGTCACCACAGGGATGTCCTCCTTCGCCACATGCGGTCTTCTTGGCCTCAGAATGAATGCCAAGAAGAGTGTTCTCACCCCCTCTCAACAGACTGTTTTCTTGGGGGTTCACTTGGATTCCGTTCAGATGCAGGCCCGTTTGGCTCCTGCCCGGATTTCCAGCCTAAACGCATGCACGGCCCGCTTCAAGCTAGGCCATCATGTTTCTGTAAGCACTTGTTGCAGGCTCTTGGGCCTCATGGCCACAGCCTCCCCTGTGCTGCCCCTGGGGCTGCTTCATATGAGGCCGTTCCTTTGGTGGATGAAACTCATAGGGATCCGCTCGACAGGACCAGCCTCTCGCCAAGTAAGAATGTTGCACATTTGCTTTCGTGCACTTTCAATGTGGCAGGACCCCCTCTTTCTTCAGAGAGGGGTCAGTATGGGCACTGTTCACTGTCGCCAAATGGTTACGACGGACGCCTCTCTGACGGGCTGGGGCGCGGTCTTTGAGGGCAGGCCAGCGTGCAGTGTTTGGCCGGAAGAGTTTCTCTCCTGGCACATAAACAGCCTGGAGCTGAGAGCCGCCTTTCTGGCACTGATACACTTTCTCCCCTCTCTCGAGGGGTGTCATGTGATTGTCAGGACAGACAACATGGCGGTAGTATCTCATATAAACCGCCAAGGGGGTTCACGGTCCCGCACCCTGGACAGGCATGCGCGCCGTCTTCTCCTTTGGGCTCAAGGCAGATTCCTCTCCCTGAGAGCGGTTCACGTCCCGGGAGTCCTGAACCTCGCAGCCTATTTTCTGTCGAGACAGAAGCTCAAATCGGGGGAATGGATGCTGAACTATCAAACGGTAGCACAGATTTGGGACCTGTTCGGCAGGGTGGAGGTGGACCTCTTTGTGACGCAGGAGTCATCCCAATGTCCACTTTGCTTCTCCCTGAGTTCCCCAGCACCTCTGGGCATAGATGCGTTCGCTCACCCATGGCCGAACCTGACACTGTATGCGTTTCCGCCTGTCAAGCTGATTCCGGCAGTACTGTGCAGAGTGAGGGAGAGCGGGGTCCATCTCCTGCTAGTGGCCCCATTCTGGCCGTCCCAGACGTGGTTCTCGGAGCTGATTTCTCTTCTGGATCGCTCTCCGTGGGAGATTCCAATCAGAAGAGATTTGCTGTCTCAGCTTCAAGGCAAGATCTGGCACCCTCAACCCGAGATCTGGAAGCTGTGGGTATGGCCCATCAAAGGCCACCAGCTTTGACTTCTAGTCTTCCTGCCGATGTTCAGGAGACTATTGCTAGTGCCAGAGCCCTTTCCACGAGGAGGCTGTATTCCTCCAAGTGGAAGGTTTTTGAGTCATGGTGCTTAGCTCATGCAGTGGACCCAGTCAGCTGCCCTATAGGTTCAGTACTGGAGTTCCTACAAGAAAAACATGTGGCAGGGGCGGCGGCTACTACCCTGAGAGTTTATGTTGCGGCCATCGCCGCACAGAGAGAATCGGATGACATTCCCCTGGGGAGACATCGGTTGGTCTCAGCGTTTATGCGTGGAGTTCAGCGTCTGAGACCAGCACGCCCCTTGGAGTTCCTTTTTGGGACTTATCAGTCGTCCTGGAGGGCTTAATGGAAGCTCCTTTTGAGCCCTTGGAGTCAGCTCCCGAACGGATTCTGACTCTCAAGGTTGTTTTTTTTGTTGCCGCTAACTTCGTTGAAGCGAGTTGGGGATTTGCAAGCTCTCTCGGTCAGCGAGGTGTGTATGGACTTCGTCCCGGGTCTGGTTAAAGTAACCTTACGACCCAGACCAGGATATGTTCCCAAGGTTTTGTCTGCATCTTTTCACTCTCAGGTGATGACCCTTCCCTCTTTCCATCCTCCTCCTTTTGCTTCAGGGGAGGATGAGAGACTTCACATGCTCTGCCCTGTCCGAGCTTTGAAGCTCTATGTGGATCGTTCTAGCCAGTGGAGGAAATCTCCGCAGCTGTTAGTATGCTTTGGTGCTGGCCGCCGTGGGCTTGCTGCGTTGAAGCATAGAATTTCACACTGGGTTAGGGACGCTATTTCGCTGGCATACGAAGTGCGTGGTCTTTCTTCACCTCTCAGCATTCGGGCGTATTCCACCAGGGCTGTGGCTTCCTCTCAAGCTCTTTTTAGGGGAGTCCCTCTAGAGGATATTTGTGTAGCGGCAGGATGGTCCTCTCTGCACACTTTTATCAGGTTCTATAATTTGGATCTTGACATGGCTCCTGGTTCCCGGGTTGTGTCCGCTTGAACCAGTCGGGGATACAATCTGGTTCTTCATCGGGCCAGTTACGGCAACGCTTTAGCTTGGCGTGTTTGGCATATCGTTCCCATTGTGTCATAGCGACGCAGCGTTGAGTGAACCTATAAAAGAGAACGTCTCGTGTTACTTGAGTAACCCATGTTCTCTGAATAGGGAACAAGATGCTGCGTCTGCTGCCAAGCTCCTCGCACTGCCAACAAGAGGTCTTTTTCGGCAGAGAAATCTGAGGAGCAGATGGTGCGTTCGCCAGTATAAGGATGGTGACGCAAGAGCGTGGGGCGGCACCCGCGCGATCAGCCAATGAATTGGCGTGATTCTATACGGGCTTCAGACGCCTAGAGGGCGTTCCCATTGCATCATAGCGACGCAGTGTCTCGTTCCCTATTCAGAGAACATGGGTTACGCAAGTAACCCGAGACGTTTTCTTATGTTGGAATAAAAGTCTTCGTACCAGATGAAGTGGCTCCTATGCTAACCCAAAGATACAAAATTGAAGAAAGAGTTCAAACTGAACACAATCTTGCTGCTCAAATTGTGTATAGAACAATATTTAATATTAATCTGCTGCTTTTATATTTTGAATTGACTTGTACTTTTACTTTCAATATTTAATTTTAATATTAAAAAATACTTTTCATACTTAAATACAATAAATACTTTTACTGTAAAAACTTCAAAACTTTTACTCAAGTAATATTACAAACGGTGACTTTAACTTCTACCAAAGTCATTTTCTGGTAAGATATCTATACTTCTACTTAAGTGTGGTTTTCAAGTACTTTATCCAGCACTGCTTGTAACCTTAGAGAAAAGTGTGAAGACATGCCAGTGCATTCACACACACACATTTCTATCTTAAAATATGCAAGGTTTGCAGCAGAGGTTACTACTTGTATGTTTTTCTAATCAGCTTCAGAAGACGTTTTTAGAAGAATTTCTCACTGCTTCAGTAGAAACAGTTTCCACTAACAGGAAGTGTGGTAAATGTGGCAACTTGATCTATATACACAGAAATGACCTATGAATACGCATTTGAGTAACCATTAATGCCATATGCATAGCAGCCAGTATATATTCATCTGTATAATGCTGTCTAAACTGTGAACACAATATAACAAAGTTCTGTTGTTTTCAGATAAAACAATATCTGATTGATGACCATGTGCCGTCAGAGGAAGATTGAGGTATTGAAAACGAAAAAACATGACTGTGTGACCGAAATAAATTCAGATCTGTAAATCTGTATTAAGCTGCTAACTTACCAAGAAAAGGTTGAGTAATAATGTTCATGGCAAAGAGCCATGTTAAACATAACATACACAAATATATTTCAAATATTTTATAACATATAACATTGCCAGTATGAAAGACAAAGTAAAAGAGCCTTAAAACATCAGAGCAAAAGTGTTTCTTATGTGCCCATAGTACTACATACATCACTTTAAGAAGCTTCAATTTAGCAGTAGCAAATAGCTCACTGATTATGCACATTCAGATTTCACATGCAAACACCCTTGCCAAAAATACCAAAATAAACACTTGTACACATTGCAAACAAGACAAGAAAGAAACTACACGAGTAACCATTTGTAGGGATTTGCTTTGGAAAGCTGAGCAACCTTTTGATTAAGGCAGACTTATTTGACGTAAATACTACAAAAAGTACCTTTCTTTAAATGTTCATAAACTGGACTCGCTACTGAGTCTGAGAAACTCTCCCAAGCAAGCAAAAATCACAAGGTATTTTCCCTTCATCCTCCATAGAGAATATTATTACTCATTGATGACTGCATAGTAAACCTTTGAAGGGGTCATGAACTGAGAAATCAAAATTCCCTTGATGTTTTGACATATAAGAGGACATTGCACTATAAAAACATCCTGAACTCAAAACTTTCTTGTTAGTCTAAAACAGCTTAAATTGAAGCCAATCCGCCAAAACGACAGGTTGTGGAATGTTCCACTTTATGATGTAATAGTGTGGCTAAACACCGCTTCCGCAGAAGATGATCAATGCCTGCTGCTACATCACTTCCTGTTTAGCCCCGCCCACCGATGTGCGCACGTAATGTAAATAACGAGAGAGGCAAACGCAGGTCTACACAGAAACCAAACGATAAAGATGACTCTGAAAACAACAAGACTGTGCAGTGCCAAGTTGTTGAAAAACAGTCTTTGCATTGGAGTGGATGAACTTTATTTTTAATGTTCCAGACCGCGTCTTAGTGCTGGGCGGTATGACCAAAAATTTATATCACGGTATTTTTCAAAATTATACCAGTTTAACGGTACATGACGGTATTTTTTTTCATGCATGACCAGGTGTTAAGCATATTTTCTACTGATTGAGAGAGGAAATACTGCAGTATATTGACTTAGAATGCCCTATTTTACTGTCATGATGAGT